TATAGAAAATGCCAGTATAAATATTCAATGAAAATTTCATGTGTCAATGGTGATTTTTTTTAGAGTTACACCAATATCTAAAATCGATTTTCTCAAATATTTATTTTCCCGGAAAGTTACTTAGTATTTMAATATTTAAACTCTCCGATGCACCAACTAGATTCACTTTACAACCTGAAAAGCTACTGAAGTTGAAAATCGAATCATTATTTTGACAACTTATCGTGTACACAGACACACAAAAAAAATACTAAATGAAAAAACACCCATCATTATAAAATCAATACATTCATTGCTCTGCTCAGAATCTAAAATTTTATTTAGTATAGAATGTTGTGAAATAATATTTTTTTTTTCAAAAAATATTGTTTATATACAACGACTTAAGATAATGTAAGAATTTTCGTGTATATAGAATAAGTGAATTATATTGAATGTATCACCTAGCATAGTATTTAAATTCGTTTAGGCCAATGTGCAACGTCGTTGTATTTACAATAAAATTATCACTGATTGTAATATTTAGAGATTGTTTTTCACCTAGTTTTCAAATATATACAAGCATTTGTTCAAAACAAATCTTTTTTGGTGTAGAAGTTATTTTGTGCTCTTTCAATCACGGCATTTAAATCAGTATTTCATAAAAAGAAAATTTATTATTCAACTATAAATTCTGCCAGTAAGTCTTATTATTATTCAAATCAGCAATATTCTTTCTCATTTTATATCAATCAGTAATCCTAAAAATTTTCAATATTGTAATATATGTCCTAAAGTCTATMTAAATGATTGAATATGCGATGGTAATTCACTAATAATAATTGTATCTAATCTGATATTATTTTTATTATCCATAACATACTATAGGTTAGTTTTTATATTTCATTTCATTTCCAATTGAGATTCCAGTTTTTAAATCGTAGAAATATTGAATTTTAATATTTTAATTGAATTTCTAAGGTTAGGTCATATATTATATTGGTTTTGATTTATTTCATAAAGTCTGAGCTTTATTGAATTTAAATGTTTTGTGTTTTTTTTTTTTAAACAATAAACATATAATTAATATTTTAGCATGAGTGTTCACCTTTAATCGTCCATAATATTATATTCAAGCATACATATTATTAATATTAAAACTTTTATAACTATAGTTAAAAAAAAAATAATGCAATATCAAACAAAAAGTAGTATTACGTATTATGTAGTCGCTAAGTACTAAGTTGTAATACAACTAAACAAGATGTGGAAAAATAAAAACTTGGCTAAGTTATACTATATAATTTACAAAATATGGGTTCTTATTAGCATCAGCGATCGCTTGATGTTGTCACTGTTGAACAAAAAGCAATAAAGTGTTATTTTTTTGTAACTATGGGCGTGTGTTTTGATTATTGAATGTTGTAATCGAAAATGTTGTGTCCGATCGATAGGTAATCGATAAAATGTATTAAATTTATTTCGAGTTTGTGTCATAATTCATCAAAACTTCTGATAAATATCTGGAATTAATTTAAAATTGACTTTGATCACCTGGACATTAGAAAATATAAAGTAGTAAACGGCACTTTTAAAGACTTTTGACATTTTCAGACACTTTTGCAGATGACTTACTGTAGCTTGATATGAGCTTATGAGTTCTACGTATGGAACAGAAAATACCTAAAGTCAAGATACGCGTTGTAAGCACACATCACAATGCACATTCACGTCAAGTGTATACCTACCTAAGTGTGATTTAATTCATTCGGAATTTAAAAGATTTTCTTTCAGCAATTTTAAATTGAAATCATTTTATTATATTTTTTTTCGTTATTATTTCCTGAAAAAAATTTGACCAAAATAACTCTGTTCGGATTAATGTTGAAACAACCTTTAGCACTGCCACTAAAAAATTAATAGTTTTGTACTGGTGTAATAAATGACGTGTGTAAAATACCGTTTTCGTTTTCAATTTTCTTGCACCCCATGAGATTTGGAATATCCGGTTCTTTCGTGCTTACGTGATCAAAATATTATATAGGTACAACATTCGAACGACGCGTATTATTCAATGTATAATAATATATATATTATATACCCATTAACACTAACGCAATTTCACGGAGGGGACAAAATAAATAATTCGTACACAATATTATACATAATGTTAACCAAATAACCGATTTTTCTTTCCAATATTTCAAAATCACATGTACAAACTTAAAATATGAATAATTTGTATACATAACAATAATATTCTCGAAGCCTAATAGGTTTTCGAACTCGTTGAGATAACATTTTCTTAAAATATTCGTATTTGTTGTATTTTAACCGTTGTGGCAAACCATAAAACTGCTATTATGGTTTATTATAATATATGTATAACCGTATTATTATGATGATTATCACTATGATGTATGTGCAAACTAGATATTCAATATTGTAATAATAAGCAGTAGGTAGCAAAGGTTAAGACGTATTGTTTCCGCCGATGGGTACATAATATTAACTCTCTGTGGAACTGTAACTCTTGAATTATACTTCATATTGGAATAATAAGCAATCATTAATAAACTGTTATAATGTTATAAACTTATAATTGTAATATATGTATAATAACAAACAAAGTTGAATATTGAAGCATATTTACTGATCCTATAGGGGATTTAAGAAAAAATGAATTCCGAAAACATATAGTATCCATTTTATAATCAATTATTATTATAATAATACATTTTTATGTCATGTACCTACCTATATTTGTTGTTATAAACCTTTTGATTAAAAACCAGCTAGCCGTAGATTAATTTAAAATTAGCTTGTGGTATACACAGAGTTTAAAAATAACATTATTTATTTTTGAATTTCAATATCAGTAAAAAAATGTTTCACTTATTTTTAGATTTTAATGTTAATGAATTTTTAATTCAGAACTACCTTTTTATGAGAAATCTCTTATAAAATTTCCAAGATTTCCTTATAAAAATTTAAAATGTCAGTGGGACAATAACTACAGTTATTTTATTTTTAAAATTATTTTAATGTTTTGGTAAAAATTTAAAAAATAGGTTTTTGTGTGGTTAGTCTAGATATTAGAGTAAGGGTGGCCACTAACATTAATTTTAGGAGCCGCAAATTTATGAAGCTATTTTGAAGCTA